TACATTTTCTGTTAGGCTAAAAGCGTCATCTCCTATAAAACGTATGGTAATTTGTCTGCTGATTTTTCAAGATGAGGAGGAGGAATATTTAAAGTATGATTTTCGAGTTTCTCGTAAAAATCGGTCTCTTGCAGGACACCTCCATCTGAAACTCTGCCATTTATTCCCGTATATACATAAATAAATTCATAGTTAGCGTTTACAATGGCAAACAAAACGGTGCTGAAAAATCCCTTATAATTGTAAAAAAACGAACCGCTATTAGGCGGTTTTTTTATGGCAATATGTTTGCCATCCATGGCTCCCAAGCAATGTTCAAAGTCGCAGGAACGTTTGAATCCATTTGCGATTTCCAGCCAATCATTTGTGCTTGATGGAAACTGAAACAAAAGTCATGTGAAATATCATTTGTATTACAACAATGTGTATTATTTTTTTCAGGATGAACAACCTGAATCATTAAGCGAGCCATCAACTCCCGTAAGCAGCTGCTATTCTGAGCATGCTGAAAAAAGCCGTGGAAGTTGCAGGTCCACAAATAGAAATAGTAGTCTAGGCCATAAAAAAGCAAAGTTTCTAGACGCAGCAAATGTTGCCCTTACAGCTCCAGAAAAACCAATATCTCCATTTGAACCGTTTGGAAAAAGCGTAGCAGTTGATCTCGAACACATGGACGCAAGACAAAGAATTATTGCGCAAAAAATAATTTCCGATGTTTTATTTTACGGGCAAAATCCTACCACTTACTATGGAAATCAGTTTGCAACACAACCAGCCACACTAGTTTCTCACCCACAAAATAATACGCTCTATCAACAGTCAACCATACCAGTTTTACAGCCGCCAGTTACTCAGCTACATGATACACTCTTTCAACAACCAGCCGCACTAATTTCGCATCCTTCAGTTACTCAGCTAAATGATCCACCCTCTCAACAACCAGCTATACAGAATCTAATCTTCGAGTTACTCAGATTCAACATGAGCAACCCAGTACATCATCAAAAAATAATACAATATATTATGATACGAATAAGTGTGACGTTTCCGAGTTCTGCAACGTCAAAGCAATAAATAAATAAGTTTGGTAACATACTTTATAAGTAATATTGTACTTATTAACTAATAAATCATTTACTAACCTTCAAATATTCGTTTTTTAGTGTCATAAATAATGCCCAACAAGTTTCAGGTATTATTTTCCCGAGAAGCTGTGGGGAGATTGCACAACTAAACTTCAAGTCTTCAACACTCCTTCCAGTTGCTAAGTACCGTAGCGTAGCAATTAATCGCTCTCTGCTACTCACTGCTTCTCTCATATGGGTGGTATTTCTTTGGATTAATGGGTCTACATATTGTAATAATATTTCAAATGCTTCTTTATCCATTCGTAAAAAGTTGTGCAAATCATGAGGCTCTGTTGTTTGGAGTTCTCTAATTAAACTCATATGAGAATACTTTCTTCGTTCTAAGAACCACCGCTTTGACCACAGTCTTTTCTTCTTCTTTTCATCAAATAAAACTATGAATCCTCCAATTATCGCAAGTTTCTTTTTATTATCCATTTCACAACGCGGAAATCAGTAACTGAATGAACCAAAAACTTCGTCTATCCAGATTTGTCGGTGAATGTATACGGACAAATTCGCATGTCAGTAGCGCGCAGCAGATCTGTCCGTCGGACAGATCCGCCGGACATGCTCGCATGTGAATAGGTCCCCTAAAACACACATTTCAAAAGATGAAGCGAGCAGTAATTGGCGATTTACTCCAATAAACCTGTGGCTAAGGTGTCATTCTCAACGTCAACTCTTAGTTTGTTGAACTAAGATTTGGCAATGTCAATTCATGAGATGCATTTTTTGAATAAGAATTAAAAACTCTATTCACCTTCGTAAAAATCCAATATGATCATTGAGCACAAGAAACGAAACGTCATATTGAAATTCAAATTATGCCAACTTGTAGATGAGAAAATCCAACTTCAAGTAAAGTAACTGTCCAAGCCAAAATGAGCGCAATACAGAGGTAAGCTTGAATGTTGATCACTGGTGGACTTCGTACCACACTAACTGCAGTTATGGAGGTCCTTTTCAATTTCCCCTCCTTGCACATATACCTGGAAGGCGAGGCATAGACTACATCATGTGGCAAATGGTATAATGGACAATATCACTATGGAGGAGGCGGACATGCTGGTGGAGTTACAAAACCGCCACACTCTGGGAATGCCTTTTTTGCCCAAGATAACAAGATATGCTAAACCGTACTCAGTGAAAATTCCACACAGGACTGAGTGGAAACAGCAAGTTAACCTGATAAGGAAAGATATCTGTGCATACACGGATGGCTCCAAGACCGAGGTAGGTGTTGGAGCTGGTATCTTCGTGCCGAAGCTAAAGATTAGAAAATCTATTAACCTAGGAACCTTGGCATCGATCTTCCAGGCAGAGCTATACGCTATAGAACTGGGTGCCAGAATGATCGCAGAACGACAACGTCTTGACAAAGAAGGTAACAGACTCTTTGCTACTGCTGAACAGGAATAGCAATGACTGTACACTGGTCATTGGAAATTGCGTCACAACATAAGCAGGCTGGGCATGGCGGAAGACGCTGAGTGCAGACTGTGCATGGAGGGAGAAGAAACGGTCGGGCATGTAATGCGCAGATGCCCTGAAATTGACAGAATCAAGTAGAACATACTTGGAGACACAGTACTCCCAGTAGAAGACTTGAAGCATATTTCTCCTCGGGAGGTCGGAGCTACTGGGGGAAATATAAATAGGTGTGAGCCACAATAGACCAAAGAGTCGCAGTGGAGGATCGTTATTCATGCACTCACAAGAAACCTAAGTAAACTCAGAGAAAGTAAAAGCGATTTTGGGAAAGGTCGACTTCTTTTGTTCATCTCCAGCCATTTGCTTAAATGCTTAACTGTGTCTCCATTCAATAGACCTTGTATCTCTTACCGTTTGCGATATCACAAAAATGATTATTATGATTGAATTTGGAACACCAGGTATACATTAGTTGTGTAAATTGGACCAGCTTGCACTATTATCAAGATGAGAAATTGTAACGAAGCATATCACAACTACTGTTAACTGTTCCATTCAACTTATCAAAGCTCTATGTGTTGGTAGAACAAAATCACTTAATACTGAAATCAACTCTAATGCTGCTTGGTAACTGCTGTATCTCAGTTCTAAAGCAGACTGTCAAAATCCGAGATCAAATTTAACAAAAGCCGGATCAAACCCATAAGCTAATTAGAAAATTAATTTAGCGTGCGATGCAGCTCTATCAAAACCTTGCTCACCGCTCCCAAAAACTCCATATCCGTCTCAGGCGAACTTCCAACTACTTTAAGTTGGAAGTTGCACACCATTCCAACTCCCCCGGGTGCACCAATCAAAGTGTATTTGCAAGTTAATGAAAAACCCTTGTAATTAACAAACACAAAAGTTTAATTCGCGATAAGATTATGTTGCAATAATCCTATTCATAACCGGATATTCAGTTGGAAACTCTGGCAAGTTTTACATTAACGGAATCCAGATGCTGCTGCTCAGGCTGAGACCGTTTTGCTTTTGCTGCCTCTACCACCGGGATGGAATCGTATGCCATGCAGTTTTGATGGTCCCAACTGCCTCAGTGGCGGAGCTATAATAATAAAATAGATCTGAAAGTCCAAGCGAACATTAAAGTAAGACGATCTTTTAGAGTTCACATACTCGATGCTGTTCAGAGGATGACTGTCCGACTGGTCGATTGTACTTGAGCAATTCCAGAGTAATGTCAACTTGATAGTCAAAGACATTAAACGCATATAATTATTTGGGTCGGTATTTTACTATACATAATATACAGACTGACAAAAGGAGGTAGGAATATTGTCCATTTTATATTTTTATGTATTTATATTCCAATAAAAGTTATTATTATGCTTATAATTATTATGAGATGAGATGAGTTGAAGCCATTGGTAAGTGTATATATCTGAAGATAGTCAACCAAATACTATATTCGCTCGCCAGAAAAAAATCCTTGATGAAATGATGTGACAGCTATTTTTCTCCTCTTCGCAAAAATGAGGAATCTGCTTCGAAAACGTTAGTGTCTGGTTGAGGCTGTTAATTCTGATAATCTTTTGGACGTAAATATTTAGTGCTAGGCTGGCTATTTTTGGGTAGAATTCGTTAATGAATGGTTATACTTGGACGATGGCTTACTGACTTCCAAATTGTAGACAAGTGGAAACACTACACTACAGCTATTGGTTGCTTCTGCATCTTCCTGCTGCTGGTGTCGACTGCCACTTCTAAGATACGATAAACTGGATCTAGGCTGCTCAGGTACCATTTCAGTTACTCAAAAAATTTGGTTAATGGTATTAACTTTAAACATCCGCACCGGCCCAAGCCATCTTTCATCGTCTGCGAATGATATAACTACGAGTACAATTTAAATAAAAAATAACCATCGCAAGTGCCAGTCTTTCCCTCACGGACTAACCGCCCGCCACAGATGTCAGTCCGTGACATTTTCAGGTCAGTCCGTGGCATACAGGTCTTTTTGCCCGTAACTAGCTTTTATTTGAATATTATGGAAAGTTCCTCTTCATGAATGAACTCTAACCTTTTTTGTTTGTGTATTGTGTAATCGTTTCTGTCAGTCTTCCCAGCTTCCTTTCCAGGAATATCTATCTAGATCGCTGACTTTTAGATTTCTCGTCCTCATCTTCCTAGGAGGAGCTTTAGGGTACGACTGTAGTGCTTCAGACGAGGATACTGAATGGTTGCTTGCAGACGGAGGAGTGGTTTCTGTCGCAGATCAGCATCACGATGAAAGATATCTGGTTCCAGATTCAATGTGAAAGCTTGCGACTCTTCGTTAGCTTCTGGAAGTGTTAGTCTGTTATTGTTTGGGGCTCGGCTATTCCAAATGGTGTAAGCATTTGACTAATAACAAATGTTTCGTCTTCGAAGTAGCTAGTTTAGTTGATGCTCTATTTTCGGGCCTAATTGGATGTACTGCACTGAAAGGATGTGAATCCTTACTTAAAGATGAGTCTTCTAGGCATCTGCAATGAAAAAAATTTAAAATTACTGTTACAACCGTTTCCATAAGAATCATTACAACCGTTCTCATCCTCTATTTCAGTGTCAGATACGACGTAACATAACCAATATAAAAACGATTATCATATTGATATTTAAGCTATAGCATAACGTAAGTCGCCAAAGATCCCTACTTTTGTCCTCTTGTCCTCTTACCTGGTGTATGCACGTTAGTGATAGCTTCGATTCCAGGGCAAACTATACATTTATTTTCACTTTAAGGACAATAAGCTAACATATTGGTATTTTATGTTCTCTCTGTAAGCTACACCTCCCATATTTATCTTGAAATTCATTTTGTAGTCATTGAGGATTCAAAGATATAGCTAGTTTCTGGTGCTACGCCTCTGTCTGAAAGGAATTGCAGTAGCTGGGATTCTTGAGACGTGATTCCCGATAATTCAGATGCTCTTTTATCCTCATTGCCTATTGCATTCTAAACTGGCCAGTTATTAGCACGCGCTCTTGGCTTTGAACTGATGTAATAGTGATAGACCAGACAGGAAATATAGCATGATAATAGATTTCTCTGTTCCTTTATCTGTAACGGTTATCGTGAAGCGCAATCGAGATTTATTAAAAAAAAAAAGATTCAGACGTGAGGTATAGATAGAAATGAAAAGGTTCTAAGGAGACTTATACCTAGGATAATTTTCCTCTGTGCACATGATCCAGCGTTGAATACAACACTCTCTAAATCACAGTTTAAAACCAAAGCATTATTTTGCCCTTATGAATCTTACTAGTCACATTCTGCCAATCTAACGGGCTGACGCCAGGGGTTGTTGTCGACCCTGTAGATTTAAAACAAAGCGCAATATAAATGCAAATCCACTTTCCAGCCCCGCATTAACTGTAATACGAATATCATTGTCTTCATCTGTGTCCCCCTTGCAGCAATTTTTCTGCTCTAAAATTATGTGTATCAGCGATAGGCTGGAAAATCGCATTGTGGTTTAACTTTTATATCAGCTAAACGACATACTATATACAGCCAAGGGGTGAAACCCACAATAAAGTGGTTCTTCCGTAAATAGTGATAATACTAATAAATCGTCTTTATTTAGGGGCCATAGTTTAGCATAATGCTACTCTGCCACTTAACCCAAAAAAGACAATACAAACATAAATACATTTGATAGGTTAGAATTTTAAAAATGTTGGTGTATAAAAAATATGATTTATATAAAATATATAAGTGAAGGCTATTCAATCTTTCATGAGAGGTGAGAGATAAATTTTATCAACTAATTTATACACTTCTATTCAAAATAAATTTCTTCATGTCTTTTAAATTCATCATATGATAGCAATTTTGTGGATCGAGGTAGAGCATTGTAAAAAATAATTTAGTTGCAGGTGAAGCATTTACAAAAGAATGATGTCCTGTGGAGGGGCATTGTGAGTGTTTCAGTGAATCGAATGTCCTTAGAATTTATCAGCTTATTTCTCAAAAACATAAGTGCGCTTTTCCAAATGGTCTTATAATGGACAATATCTTCCATACGTTTCATCCTCACTGACAATGATCAGTACGATCTCGGCGGGGCATC